GGTTATATTTATTTCGAACTATAATGCAATAGAAGATGACAAGTATGGAATTGCTGAGTAGCTCTGAAATTCATTTAGTGTTTACTCAAAGAAGATAAATTATATGACGACAAATGGGAGATAAAGTGAGAATTGCAACCATGTTTTTCCAATTATTTCAAACTTAAACTGGATTAATACAGTATATATCAAACTCGACTTAACTATTCTAAACTAAATTGATACAGTATATCTATTAAAAACAACACGAACGTTTCCAATCTTGTTCATTTGCAGCGTCACGACTGATCACAATATCAATTTCATTTGCTCCATCTTCTACTGCTAATTTCACTTCTAATATTTTAGATTCTATTCGATACTGTCCAGATGGGAAACCTGCTGCCACTAAAATAACTTATTTACTAGAGTTTGCATATATCATATGTCTAGATGTATTCGTAACATAATATGATAAAGCAAAATACTTCAAGATATCATAGGTGATAGTACGAAATAAAGGAAAACTTGGGATACCTGAACATATAGCTAATGATTGTTGTTGGCCATACTTCGAATGCAGATAATGTTTAGCGCTTGATATCCGTGCAGGGTAAGCACAAACGGCAGCACATCTCGTTTCTGGCTTCTCAAATAAATTCACTATACTATTAGCAACATAATAATTTTAATTTGAGTCATTTTTGACTTAAGAACTTGAATTAATTCAAACAGCGTTAGAAATTTAAGATCTAAAATTGCGATAGCTTAATAGTTTAGTGTATAGCAATAAACTCCTTTCCCACTTGCATTAACTCATCATCTACGATATAATCCTCACATTAGAATCTTGAAAATTCAATATTTTGTAAGCTTTCGCTTTTTCGCTCCGTTCTTCCCTTTCCATAGCATATACTAGGAAGAATTTGAACTTTCTGACAATTAACGAACCGTAGGATACGGTAAGACAGCTTTATCAATAAGTCGTTCGATTACATTATCCGTATCATCGCTGTTTAGACTAGTTAAGTCGATGAATGAAATCAGTTTCAGTAAATGATCGCTCTAAAACCGGAAACAACATTATGGCATATGCTCATAAGAATACTTTATTCATAACTATTCAACATCATTTAATTTAAATCACCCCTTACTGCTACTGCTAACAAGATTAGAATACAAGAATTAATGAAATCCAGAATAAGTAATGAGTAAGAAATTACCATGAAATCTTTATCTTCGTTAATTGATGACTTTTTCAGTTATTTCCTGTAATCTATCAAGGTGGTGATAATTCCGAAATAATCATTAAGTAATAATAAGAATAGATTGAAGACTAATGAAATTGCCAAAAAAAAAAAAAATGAATTGATGCTTTTTATTCAATTTTAACTTACAGCACCAATCATCGACTGAGCATGTTGTTTTGCAACATCAACCATCTTTGCTATCATTGATGGCTTCAAAAGATGTATATTTTTGGTTACATCACTGAACTTTTCGGCATCAAAATCATTTTCCATCATTGTTGCTAAAATTTATGCATATATTTTCTTGAAGCTCTCATGAAAGCATTAAATTACTCAAATAATTATGACTACTGATCGTGTGGAAAATAGATTATTACATAACACATTTCGATTATTCATCATCAATCACACTTTGTTCAACAAAACTAAAAAATCGATGTTATTATTATTGTTACCTAAAATGCTAAAATTTCCTGATAAGTGCTATTAATATGCTGAAATGATAGCATTTCTATGCTTATCATTCGTATATAATAAATAATACATACATAAAAGTTTAATTAAAAGTATTAATGAAGTATTGAGTTATCCAAAACTAAGATAATCACTATTGTAGATTTGTGTTATCATCAAGAATAATCAAGCTTATTTCTATATTTCCTATCCTTTTTCTATCTTCATATTATTATACTAATGCTAGCAAATTATTCCATTGCTTTTTTATTTAACTTTTTCGTTGTGCAAAGTTTCTTTTCAAATGCTTTAATTGAGTAATACTAGCATCATAAATGATAGCAATTTAACATATAACATTTTTGATATGTAACAACAGGAATATGCAATTTACACAACTGATTTAAGGTAAATAAAATGAAGATGAATAGTTATTTCCAATTAATATCTAAAATTAGCAAAAGCTTGATGAAAAATGAAAATATACTAACTGTTGGTTAGAGAATTCAATATTACTTATGAAAATATCATATTGTTTATCAAATAAATAGTCATATAATTTCATTCATTACCATCATTTCATTTCTCTAATAAACTATGAATACAACAATGTTTACCTAAATGCTATATACTATGGAATAAAAACAGAAGTAGTTAGACCAAGAAGAAATTTATATCAGTGATCGAAAAAATTCAATCAGTCCGATATAATGCATAGTTCTACTTTAAATACTCTCTCTGTTCAGTACAAGGTGAACATTTATTGGACATGTAATCAATCACCTTGATTCAAGTAAAAGTGTAAGTGTAAGTGTAACCACGAATTCTTTGAGTTATACAACAACTACCAAATTTAGAGTCTTCCCTTCTCGTAAATAACTTAGTGGAAATGAGATATCATACAAGAAGGAAAATGTTGTATTAAAAAAAAATATGAGTATTCTTTTCATTGTCCAAAATATTGTACTGTATTGTAGATCTTACGATGGGTAAATACATATTTTAAATTTATTATCTTTGAATTATGCAAAACGAAAAAAAAAAAGAGAAATATGTAAGTAAATAATTTCAACAAAAAAAAAAAAAAGAAAAAAGAACCGAACTTTCGATTTGTTACAATTTGTCCGCTTTTCTTTATTTAAAAAATTTTAAAAACAATGAAGAATTTTCTCAATAATATACATACATAAACACTTTTCCATTGCAAACAAACAAAATTATCTAACAAATAGAGACAACAATTGGACACTTTCACAATATTAGCAAGAAGCCACGAAGGAAATAAATTTCACAAGGAACAACAAAAAAAAAAAAAAAACCATAGTTAATAAATAATGAAGAAAACAACTTTTCTAATCAAACATAATAGCCAACTAAAAACTATCCGTTTTCAACCAGCTATAAAATATAATTTTTTCTTGTCATGATTATTAACTGAAATATCTTTTTCCTTTTTTCATCTTCTGTAATTTCCTGGATTTCATTTCCGATATAAAAGACACACATATGCTTTAATTTTTTGAAATAAAAATAGATAACAACACATAGAGTATTTTAACCATGTTATCACAAGAATCAAACGAAAAGAAAATATACAATGTACTGGGAGATGGAAGAAAAAAGTCTGTTCAAGAACAAACAAAAAACCAGCAAATACAAATCGTAGAAAAAATAAAAAAACAAATACAAAAAAGAAAAAAGAAACCACTACACCTACATCCTAAATTTGTTAAAGTTGTGGTGTATGGTGCTTCCCTCATCAATAATCACAAAACCTCATCCTATCAAATCTCGGTAAATCAATCGCAAGGAACCAGTCAGCTATCCGGTCTTACCTGCATGATACTGCTGGAAATCCTAACCTATGCGTAACAAAATACAGTTCTTAAAACCTCTCCACGATAATCATCAACTTGATTGCTTTACTTCTGATTCACTTCAAATTATTTACACTTATAGCGACAAATAGTAATATCTGATTCAGGTATAAATACGTTACACAAATGATGAAGACTTCACAACCTGCTGTATTATTACAATGTAAAGGACAGTTGTAAAAAATAATGGGTAATCTACAAAATTTTTCACTCTTCAATCCGAATCATCTTTTTAAGACAATACATTTACCAGAGATTCTTCCCAAATTTGATATTTTTTCTTTCCTTCATGTAGATGAACCATGCATAACTTAGGGACCATAACAACTCATGCACCAATGAAATGGACATGATTTTCTCAAGCACCTAACAATAACAACTTCCAGATAGTTTTTTGCATAAAACACTAATCCCAATAAATAAAATCATGAAGATTCGAGAGATACACATTAACTGGTAGTTTGTAACATCAGATTAGAAAATTGGTAAATGATATTGTTAATAATCATCATAAAAAATACATATACATCTTCTGTAAACAATTGAATTATTTTTCAAAAATGGACCACAAATGAGTCATTGGCACAAATGAGTCAATCAATGTACAGTAGTAGTAGTAGTACCGATCAAAAAATAAATTAACCAGTATTGAGAGAGAAAAGTCAAAATACAAGTAGTTATAGAATTATATATTCATAAATGAAAACACAGTTCAATCAACAGAATAATAATTAGCAACACGACAGTTGTATTAAGAGCGCCAATAGTAGCAATTGAAGGTGCTTAACCGTAACGCCCAAATTCCAGCGCTGGAAAAAAAGCTTCGTAAAGAAAAACAACAAAAGATCGATGCAGGACAAGCCAAAAAAAGTATTAAGACATATTACGGAGGAGAAGTTCGTAATATGTACCAATTAATTAACCGTTCATTAATCTCTTCCAGCATCATTGTAAACTAAAAGTAAAAATACATTCCTTGGAGTGGTTCATTGAAACACGTCAATCGGCATTACGTGAAAATGTTATTTGCTGCGTCGAAATACCATGTGTATATATTATACAATTCACGGAGCTACACTTAGCTATGTAATACCTTCAATCCTCCTCTTTACACACGCAGTTCAAACATTCTTTTAAAAAAAGTTCCACCTTATGCAGTCGACTCAGCAAATAACTTTTTTATAGGAAAATTTTTTTGAAATGTTCCAAAAAACATGAATAGAAGCCAAAGGGAAATAAAGTGCCACAAATTCGAAGGAAAAATATTTTTCCGATATGAAACACTAAATTACAGTATGCATCAGAGATCAATATAACATCATAAATTTTCTGTCCACGAAATTTCCATTTCAACAATTTCTTCCCATTGTTCAAAACATCTTTGAAGACACCACTTCCTCAGGACATTTTGTATAATTGAGAGCTACCTTATTTCGACAGACTAATTTGCAGACGTAATGACGACGAATAAATAGCTAGCTTTCTGTTGCCTGAATATTTCCAGCAAATCCGGACTATTCTTCTGCAGGAATGCAGATGCAAAATCACACGGTGGAAAGATGTGTACAATAGTATTAGGCGTCGGATTCTGCTGAAATAGAGAAATGTTACAAAAATATATTACTACATATACAACGTGTTCAGTAGTACGATGTTTACAGTCCACAACCAGGTATACCAGCTATTTAACAAATCAAAAAAACCCTATAGGGGGCCTTTTACAAAAAATAACAAAATCCTACAATTAAATTTTTGATCCATTAGATGTGATTATCGGTAGGAAAACCAAAAGAAACGAAACCAAAATGAGGAGTCCAAAAACAAGTATTCAAGAATGAAAAGGAAATAGAATTAAACTGGAATTTCGTTTCCTTAATCTCACAAAACGAAAGTAATGATAATTACGAAAACCTAATAATTATACATTCCACTTTAAGAATATGGACAGAGAAAAACGCAAACTGACGTATTAAATGTTAAACGATAGGAAGTTAAACTGAAACCTATCAAAATCATTTAAAGATATTACCTCGTTGCCAACGTTGCATATTCCAGCAGCTTGTTTTGATTCCAAGTAATCAACAAAACGTTCTTTGAGAAGCTCGGACTGACTTTTTATATCTTCTTTGCTCGGACCACATGAAAGACAAATCAACGCGATGTACGAATGCTCATCCATCATTTTGCATTGAACACCTATAATAGAAGATTGTTTTGTTCACATAAGAACCAAAAAATGTGTTTTGATAGCTTTATTAATCCTTTTGCAAGGATAACTAATAAATAATTGAATGATAAAATGAACAACACCAACACGCGACTAACTCTGCCAAGTGGTATAAATGGTGACCAACATACAGTTCATCATTATCATATAAATGGTAATCCAACATACAGAATTCGAAATGGTGTGAATAGCATTGCACCTCCCATCAGGTAAATTTTAACTTCAAAATGATGAAATTTGAAACATTTCACTCTGAATGAAAAGAATTTGCATACTTTCAAGCTGACCCGCTTCCATACGCATTCGCTGGTTAATTCTTATTAATGGCATATGATTTGATGTTGTTGTAAATTGATCTAATGAACGTTTGCACATTTCAGCATTACCGCCAACCTGTAGAAATTCATTTATCATTGCTTGTTCGCAAGAGGTATGAAAGATCTGTCAGCTCAACAATCACTCACTAATGTTTTGGTGAAATCGCATGTTACAGTGATAACTTCCATATCGACGCCATTTCTCAAACAGACAGCACCACGGTGTAGTGAAAGTACAAAATAAAGAAAATACAATGTAATATTACTATACTCTTTATTGAATCATAAATTTATAACTTTCAATAAAAATGCCACATAAAAATTAGGATCACCAAGATTTTCCAGCCTTAAAAAACCAGCCTAAAAATAGTTACCTTATGCATCTGCACACGAGTTTCGTTTGTTTTAAGTGCAATTATTCCTTGCCACATGACCGGATACCGCTGTAAGTAGATAAAATAGATGACATTGATCATATAGCATGATAAGAAACTAAACACATTTCTTTTTCTTTTTGTACAAAAAACTATGGAATAAATTACGAAACGGCTCAAGCTGAGAAAACATTATCTGGCTATAACTAGGTAATCCACATTACTTACATCTTAATCAGGATCAGACCTGTCCTCATTTCATCAATTGAATTAATAAAAGTGTAAAAAGTGCAACTCAGTATCAAACGTATAATCCATCCGCTTATAACTTAACTAACATTGACATATCTGCACTCACTAATTAACATAAAGTGAATTCAGAAGCAGTACCGATATAATTAATATTAGGGTGGTACTTTCAGTTTCAAAACCAAACAATAAAGTGCAAAAAAATCGAAAGAAAAAACTTACGGCGATAACCGATGCAGCCGGTAGACCAGCATAAGTTTTGACTTGCTGCTGCTGCTGCTGCGCTTGCTGTTGTTTCTGTTTCGATGGTTGTTTGACATCTTGTTGACGTTGTCCAGCTCCAACATGATATATTCCCGATTGCCCAGTCATCTGTAATTGCACTGTCCTCAAACTTAAGTATGTAATACAGTGCTTTGCTTGAATATCCTAAAACTAGAAAGTCATATTTTATTATTATTTTTTTAAAATAATAAACCAATAAAATGTACCTGCTGTGTAGAGAGTAATGATGACTCGCACGAAATCGGAAATGCACCAGTGGCAGCACCGTAGAGAGAATTCAGTTGTTGAGCTGCAATATTAGCTTGCTGTGGAGAACAAAGTGTAGTCGCTGGCGAAGACTGTTGATACAGATTAGACGTCAAATATTGCTGTTGCTGTTGTTGAAGGTCCTAAACAAAGAACTTCAAGTATATTTCACCTTGCGAAATAGATGAAAGAAACACAGTAACTTTCCAGCATGTATTTTCATTTTTTCCTTTTTTACCCAAATATCCTATAGTAACTCATTTTTCAGCTTGGGTAATGATAAATAATATGACTGCCAAATCCATGACGTGAAAGATATGGCTTGATACTAACAAATATATTTGTTCTCCGACGACGAAATTATAGAGCCTTATGTGGTGCAAACGATGAAGAGTTTATAATGAAATCAAAGAAAAGTCGCGATGAAATAACCCCCAGATCTTCAATTTCTTCAAATCATTGCTGAGAAAAAGATAAAGCGACTTATTTGATTAAATCAAAAGATGTCAAGTTTATGCTCTTGAAGAGAAAAGTGCAGTAAATAGTAGATATATCATGTTCTAGAAGCATTATTCTCAACTTACTGAGAAACAAGGAAATTGGGCTAAGCTAACCGCTAAATGCGGCTGCTGTTGCTGCTGTCGCTGGGTATCTTGTCGTACAGCACCAGGCAGTACACCTGCAGCGGCAACGGCGACTGCTGCTGCTGTTGGATTATTCGGCGGTCCTGAATAACCACCTGGTCCATATGCTCCTGCTGCCGCAGCTACATTTCCACCACTGTAGGCACTTGTTGCTGCTGCTGCTGCAGATCGAAACACTAATGATCAACACATAACTCTGTCATTGCTTTTAAATTAAAGTAGTTGTAAATTTCAGTTATTCCATTTACGATACAACGCATCTATGACAAATGTTTCTGTGTAAGTAAACGCATCATTATACAAATATTTATGTCGTGTATACCTTGGAAAGTATTAAAAAGTGTTGAACGATACATCTGCTGTAAATATTGCTGTTGCATTTGAGTAAATGGTGAAGTGGTGCCAGGTAAACCGATTGCAAATGCAACCGCTTGCTGTGCAGTCGGCGAAAGTTGTTGCTGCTGTTGTTGTTGATGTTGCACTGTACGATTTATTTGATGTGCAGTATTTGTCGATGCACTTGATCGACTAGCTTGTAAATTTGGTGCAGTTGCACTCGAAGGCGTAGCCCCAGTACGTCCCATCAATGGTGCAGCAAGCGGTGATGGAATTGGATGATTGTGGCGCACTTCTGCGGAAACTTTCCCCTGCTGTTGTTGCTGCTGAGTTATTTGAGTCTAAAATGTGCATATAAAGCTATAAATATAGAACGAATGGACCAACCTAACATGAGCACGAAAGAGTGGATGGTTTGTTAACCTTGATGCTGCATGAACAAGAAGTTTCAATGAAATATTTTCCTCACCAAACATAGATGGCTTAACAAAAAAGCATAAATATATATATACGAGGAAGATATGACGTTCTGTTCATAAAAACTACCTGCTGTTGGTGCTGTGGTTGTGTTGCTCCGGTTGCCGGTTTCTTCGGTAGATTAGCATATAAATCATAGGGACTGCTACTGATCGATTCTTGGAGCGGCGTTGTTGATAAACCCATTTGTTTGTTCAAATCTAGCTGCCTGGATGCAGCAGCTACACTCTGTGCAGCTACTACTGCTGCAGTGCTACATGTAGAAGTCATCATAGGTGAACCGTAATTTATCGATTGCTGTTGTTGCAGGTGTGATTGAGCTACCAACTGGGTTGTTTGCTGTTGTGATGGCGTTGCCTGTACAACTTGTTGGCGCGCATCGGACAACTGCGATACAGCATGTACAGCACCAGCACCTACTGCATTAGCTATATTTTGCATGTTATCTGCGGTTTGCTGTTGCTGCAGGAACAAATGCTGTTGTTGCTGCTGAAGCGACATCTGAGGTGAAGTAAAGCTGGCTGTACCAGCTTGCTGAACAGCATTCCTACCTGAGTAATATGATGGTAAATTGCCTGTTGCTACACTCTTTGACTGCAGCGGATGTGATTGCTGCTGCTGCGGTATCGCAGTGGTTCCCTGTACTCGCTGCTCGATCGGAGGTAAGTGTTGCTGTTGTAGATATGTCGTTTCAGGAACTTTCATGATCTGTGATTGTGACTGTTGATAAGTCGTTAGACGAGTACCCTGCTGCTGCTGCTGTTGCACTATAGCTTGACCCATGTGCTGCTGCTGTTGCTGCTGTAGTACCATATGGCTATTACCATGGACAATATTTTGCTGAAGCTGTTGTTGCTGCTGAGGCGGTTGCGACAAAAGGCCCTAGAAAAGATCATTAAGACAATAGCATATTGAACTGAAAATTACTTGGTACTCAGATACTTTAGAACAGATTCAACTGAAAAATCGGAACAACAGACATTCCACTACCAATTAATGTATTATAAATTAACAAAGAAATTCAAATTTTACTTCCTATACGAAATATCACTGTGACCAACCACTACCATATCACTCATACGAACACATGTCACAAATGATACATATAATGACTTATTCTGTAAATATGCACATGAACCACTCACTTCTCCTTGATGGTGCAGAGACAAAGCAGATCTAAGATCTCTAGAACTGCAAGAAGGAGAAGGGAGTAGAGAACGTATGCATTAAGTATGCATGATAATTTATAGAATAAAGTTACATTTTCAGAACAATTTCAATTCGCAAAAGCGTATTTAGCAATGGATTGAACAATGTGGTTCCGAATATTTCAAAACAAGTTGACGCCATTATAAATTTGATAAATAGAAAAATCGACAGGTACGAATGATCTACGATGCTAAGTACTGTAAGTATACCTGCTGCAAAGTTATCTGCTGCGGCATTTGCAAATGGTGCTGTTGTTGTGATTGTTGCATATGATAACCGCTGCTTCCATACTGTTGTTGCTGGGTATGCGACGGTCCATGTGCAGCACTTTGATAATCATATTGCGATGTTTCGGCACCTCTTGAGAAAGTTGTCGACGGCACAACTTTCTGAGTGATGCTTCCTTGCGTAGACGCAGCCGCAGCTCGTAAAACTGCTTCCTCTTTTGCCTTCTTTGAGTTTATACGCATTAGTTGCTCAGCATCTACTTCCATATACCCACCGGCCACTACGTCATCAATCACCTACAAAAAGTGGTGCAAAAGATTTTTACAGTGCCGTCCGGACATATTCGAGGATGCAAACCTGATCGTTGCATGTACCACAATGCTATCAAGACTCTATTAATCCATCAGTAAGAATTCCAAGTCAAGAAATAGACGAAGTAAACTAGATTTCCACACAACTGATTAAAAAAAAAAATTGTAGAGTGGAAAAAAGCCAAACTCATGTTAGCACTCGGACTTATCCCATCTCCAAAAAGATTTTTGTTCAACTCAATTTATCCAAAAAGGAAATTAAAATTCTACAGTCCTATGCAGCAAACCATTACTACCTCTGTAAGCACATCAACCCAACAACATCTAACAACATTGATATGTCATTTAAAAAACAGTAGGGATTTTGCACATTTTTGGGCACATAACAACTCGGTTGCATCCATCCAGTAGCAGCACTGTAATCTAATACTATTGCTAATATCTATCACTACTATTAATAAGAAGCAGTAAGAAATAAAAAAGCATAAAGCGTTAAAGAGAATTTTTCCTGAACGAAAAATAAAAAAGTAAACGAGTTGAGCAGTAGCCGGCGGAAAGATACGGAAAAATGAAAGAAGTGCAGTGCAGCAAAAATATATCGAAGTGCAGTGATAATATATATAAAATCTATGTGTGAATGTATGGATAGTACTGAATTAAATTAAGAAAGATACCTCGTCAAGATGTGAATCACTTCGCTTATCATCTGTGTCCATTTTACTTTTATTGCCATCCGTATCTTCCAGTTGCATTTCCTGTAATAATTCTTTAGACATTATATCCTTAATAGAATGTCTGAAATATGAGATTTATATCTCATAGCACAGGCATTAACTACGTACAGTGAAGCCACGATCCATGCATCTCAAGGAATGCTAAATCACCGTCAAAAATTGGAGCCAACCTATTCTACTTTTTTGTGTAAAAATGGATATGAAACAGCTGTCTCCTTCAAGTCAAAGATAAAAAGATAACCAGCCTACTCTTTTAATGATTTATACGAAACAGTCACAACTGCCTCTTCCACCTAAAAATTTCCTAAGTGAAATGAACTCCCAAAAAAAGTCTGAATAAAAATAAAAGTCTACTTTGTATGTCAACTTACTATTACTTCTCACATCCTACCTGATGTTCGGCATCTGTTGCTAATTTCGATGTAGTAATGTCATCACTGTCGACATCTGCATTATCTTGAGAATCGCTCTCTTCCTGCTGCTTATTCGCACTAAAATCCGCAATTCCTGCTGTATCCGTCAGGCTAGCACGTCTCGAATTTGTACCGCCAACACCTTCACTCAAATAATCCATAGCAGCGCTACCATCTTCACCGCTATGCTGACTTCGATTATCGTCTAAAACAATCGACTGCACAGCAAATTCGGTTTCCTGCAAAGGAGACATTATATGTCGACCACGTTTTTTAATTTAACTTAAACTGTTGTGTATCAAAATAAAGTAACTCATCTAATTTTTTCCCAGCTTATACTTAAAATAGATAAATCCATCAGCTGTCAACAATACCCAACCTTAACTTTGAACTTTACCCTCAACTTGTTATAATTGGCTTAGCTCAGCATTAACATTATTACAATCTCATACAGATATATAGGGCTACCTCAGTAGTGCAAAAACTAGAACGAGCTACACACGGTTAGAATTCAAGTCTCAAACAATTTAGCAGAAGTTCATGACTAAAACAAACTCAACTTTCTGAGAGTTATAAAGATTAACACCAGATCTTGGGAATTTATTTACACTTAATCCAGAAAAGATAGTAAAAAGAATTTTTCTCAGAAGTATGTTTTTCGAAACACGAAAAATTGTGCTGAATCTGACAAAATGCACTACCTCTCCTACCGTGCTGTGTTTAACCTGAACTGCATTATATTGACAACAAAGTGCAAATGCTTGCTTAGTGCATAAATTTACGTACGTATAAGACAAATTTTTTTTGCAGTAATTTTCTTGCATGCACAGACCTGCACATCGTGAACATCATCTTGCACTCGAACGGTAGCAGTACATTCAGAACCATCCACATGCTCTTCTACTTCCATCACCGTTTCTTTCCGAAGATGCTCGACTTTATAAGTGGATTCTCGGCGTTGTTGTTGCCTGGTACCACCAGAATCACTATCAATATCTTGATCCGGCAATGAATCAACATCACCAACTCGTCCCTCATCAATCAACTCGAAACTTCCGTTGGATTCAGCATCATTCACACTGTCCAGAATACTTGCTCCCGAGCCTTCAACATTTTGGGGTTGCTGCTGTTGCTTCTTCACTACTGCATTACTTACTATATCTGCACCATGAACTGTGAGATCGGTAGAACACTCAGCATCTGAATTTGGTACAAAAATGACTCCTTCGCTGACCACATCACTGGAAAATAACTTCTCTTCGTTTTCGGCCTTTTCAACACATTCTTGCTCCGTAGCACGACTACGACCAGTCTTGAGTATTTCTGCAGATCCCGAAATCCTGATCTTCTCCGATCCTAAAATCTGCTGTTGGTTTTGATCCTCAGGACCATCTTCCAGCTGAGTTTCTAGATTGGCCGATGATGTTGATAACAAGCTTGTCTGGCCACTTTCACTGCTATTCGTTGAAGACACTGAATTTTTACGACCGATGACACAGCGATCAACATCTCTATCTCCATCTCTTTCATCATCGTCGGATGTGCAAAGCTCCTGTTGTTGCTGCTTTGGTCGATTTTGGTTGCGATCCGTGTTTTCCTGCTATAACATAAATGCAATATGTGTTTCCCATGTTTCTATTATGTTTAGTACATCAAATTATCGCACAGCACAAACTAAGCATTTGTGTTTTTAATACAGTATTAGTTTTGTGCTTTTGGAAACATGATTTTCATAAATCTTTAAAAAACAATAAAGAATATTTGCTAAAATGATTTATGGTAACTTCTTTACCAAAAGTACTATCTCCATCATTCGGGTAAAATGTTACATGTTATAAAAACCTCGAATGTTTTAAAACATAATACAAACTACAGCGCTTGAGGTGATGTAATAGTTTTAAGCGTGCATTATGAGCAAAAAGTAGCATGAAAATTATAAAAACAAGCTGGAAGCAATAAAGTCATAAAATGCAACTTAAGACCATCCAGAAAAGGAATATAAGTTAACAGTGTACTACACTAACTAATCCTCGACGTATATTCACATGCATGCATGCAAAATGCTTTAGAGAACGAAATCTAGCTTTTACTAAATTAATCCTCCCAACAAAAAGAATACACAAACATTGTAAACATTCCCGTTCAAAATGCATTTTGATTTTATTTCTTGGGCAAACACGCCACGTTGATTCAGAGTGGAGTTTATTGAAGTTTTCTCGCTTCGGGATCTCATTCAAGGCATCATCTATTTGAAGAAAAAGCTACCCCTTTACATTCCCGTGACTAATTCAGCTTACATTGTATGTATGCCCAATGATGTTTTCCCAAATGAAAAGGTTGAAGAATATATACTAGATTAATATATAAATCCGAAAAGAAATGTTTATTCATTCTGCATTCTTCCGCTCAGGATCAGCGGAATTTTGGCAGCAAGTTTGAAAAACTGACTAGGTGAGAAGAAACATACGTCTTTATCTGTCCAAAATTTGTATAAAACTACATTAGACAGCATTCTCAACAATTAAGAAAAAATCTTTTCAGTAGTCGTTGTTTGGGTGCTTTACAATTTACTAAAACGCATGCATATTTTGAGAAAAGTGGGGTGAATTTTGTTAGGAAAAAAGATGAAAAGAACAATGGTAGGAGAAGTTTAATGCATAATATTACTACAAAGAATAGGAATCCAGAAAAACACATATAAGGAGATAGGATATCCAAATTTTCGTAATCGAGATAAAATTTTTCAAAGGTTCCCACTGCATGTAATCTAATGAAGTGTAATGAAGAACTAATTATCACTAGTCTTTCTACAAAATATACCAGACAAAAGTAAATATCAACATGTCTTTTGCCTATCCCTCTGTCAAAAAATCGATACTTTTTTTCTGTAACTGTACAAAAATGGAACCTTAGTTTTTTATCTAAAAGAAAATTTGGTAACGAAGCAGCAGTTGCAAACGATGAAGCCAAAAAGCTCAAGCAAAAGGGAAACACTAAACGAAAAACTTACAGGATGTCTGGATACAATATCATTGTCCGCTGTTACTGAGGGTCTATCGGTTTCCAGCTTCTGTTCCACTAAGTCATACTTTTTAGACTGATCTGACTCATCGTGTGAGGTATTCTGAGGTGAAGGATATTCATTCGATGTAGTATGTAAAATTATATTCGTTGCACATTCCTCCGAAACACAGTCCATTTCCTAAAAATTAAAAATATTTATCCGAAAAAGACAAAAATGTCTTGCTCCCCATACATGTTAAGTTACATTAGTAGTCGAAAGATTACTCGCAAATTATGTTGTACCGTTTGAGAAGAGAATTATAAAACTAAAACGCTTATTAATTAGAATATTACATACGGTGTGCTCCATTTCTACCGTGCCAGGCATAGAAGCGACTGATATTTTCGTTAATTGTGGGATATCAGGTCCTGTGTTCGTACCATCGGACGGCAAATCACTTTTACTTTCCGGTCCGGATATATTATTTCTTATATTATTTGCATCAAAATTCTCGGGAGACTAAAACGAAAATCCAACTTAAATTGTTATATTTAATAAAATACAAAAAAAAAAAAACTTTTAATTCATCAAAAAAAGTACTAGCTTCGATTTGTAAGATTTTCAGCCAATGATGGTATGTTAAAACGTTGATGTCTCTGCTATTACCAACCTTTTGCTAAAAACAAAAATTCAAAATAAATCATCTGTAAAAACTAACTTTACTTGATGGTTCCTGCTTCATTACCAACGCATCATTCTTTTTCAAATCCTCATAAGAATCAGAATCTGTCCCAGACATTTCTAGTTTCAATGACTTCGGCTCCTTTCTGCTCCTTTTCACTTGTTCTGAATCTAAATTCATGATAAAGGAAACATAAAAATCTACGAATAAAAATTCTGAAATCGCAATAAAAAAACGTACTTTCGGCTCTAAGATGCCTTTTGCGAGCACCTTTGGTACTAGATGATTCATGACTCTGAATAGCTGTTTTTGGACTTCGTTCATCAAAATTAGGTCCCGTACCATCAGTGCAATCACTATTAGCTTTATCCATTTTTTGCCGTTCACCTTCATTTTGTAATCTCTCATCTTTTTGTTTCGTCATAGCTGCTTCTCGTTTCTGTTCCTCATATCGCTCCTGAAACATATACAATCCGAGTCCTGCTTATCCGTTATCCGAGTGCTTCATCACATGCACCTTTTCGGAGAATTTTTCTTTGCTTAGTTTGTGAGAAAACACTTTCTAAACCAAAACATTGAAATCTATTTCACTGCAACACTACTGATTTCAGCAAAGTATACAGCATTTACTTTCAATGAAAAATCCAAACACATACTTTTTGTTCTCTTTTTAGCTTTTTCGCTAGTTTCTTTTCAAACTGCCCACTAATTCCAGGTTTCCGATTTTTTTTCTTTTGTTCGGGTGTGGTAGACGTCTTTGCTTTAGTCGTCTTCTTATTATCTTCACGGAACATTGAAATTTCAATCAAAGATTTCTCCTGAAATGTTTTCCATAGCACTATACTCTAAGAAAAGTATTCTTTTCTTTTTCTTCTTCAAGATAGTCGTGTATGCATAAAAAACAGCCTAAAAAATTTAATATAAACAGCTTTTCATCGCGAAATGAACTGCATTACTGCATTTGCTTTTCGCTGAAACAGAACACAATTGTATCTGTATTCTTATTTCCAAGTTACAAGAGGAAAGAACAAATACCACTTTCTGCTTCTTTTTTTCTGGAACTTCTACAGTGTTTGCAATAGTAGCAGCTTCACACACTTCATCATTTTTGCTGCATCGCTTCTTACCAGTAACCTTCCTCTCAACCGATTTTTCCAAAACTTGCTTGCTCTCCACTTTTCGTGGAGCAGTCTAAAATAAAATCCATAAATATGAAAGTTTTTCAAAACATTTATTATAATCACTAGTAAATCCTATGCATTCAGTTCCATTCTTATTTTACCATAACGTTCTACTGATTAAGAATCACTCTTTCTGACGGCTGATCTAAATTAGGTATTCACTATTCTTCTTACGAGTTAAAGGCTTTGTACATTTCCAACTATTAATATATGATGTTTACTCGTATCATGATGTAAGGAACACTGGATATCTTTAAAATATGCATTTTACAAACCAAATGAAAACATGAAAAATGTGCCACGGTAATACCTTTTTTCCTTCTTCACAAGATTCATCATCACTTTCCTCCAATTTCTCCTTTTTGCGTTCTTTCTTTAAACTTAAACGCCTAGTATTTCCCGTCTTCTCTTTTTCGTCTTTTAATTTCTGATTTCCATCGATCTTTGTGACAGCTTTTTTACCTTCTTCTTTTTCATCCTTTTCCTTGTATAGTGATGGGACGATGGAACCTCTGGAATGTTTTGTAGATTCGTCATCCGTGGAATAGGTTCCAAATACGTCATCCAATGACAACGACGTGGTTTTTTTCTGCAAAACCATCACTTTAACAAAGAAAACACCAAAAACCCACACAAAAGAATGATAATTATTCAGCGAGTACAAATTCACCCAAAGACATAAAAAAGTTCAACGAAGAACCCACTACTAGAGCTGGTCTATTCCAACTAACCAATATTAACTGATTAATAAAATACACGTACAAATAAACGCAAAGTACCTGCTTTTTACAAGATTTTGATGTTGCTATTTTTCGACTGCGTCTTCGTTTCGAATGTTCTTCCTCTGATTCGGACCTTTCCGAATCCTTGTCAACCTAGAGATATGAACGTATAAAACAAATAACTGAAGAATTGTAGACTTATTTAAACTCAAACTTTCCTATTTATGTTTCTAAGTGCTATAAGATCATACAACAAATTAAAATTTGGGATGCACAAATTCTATAATCTCAATAATTTTCTTAAAAATCCAAACTCGTTAGAAAACTAAAAACAAAAACGCTACCCCATCATCGTCATCATCATTACACTCGACTTCATCATCAGTGAGTAACTTCTTTTGCAGAACCGATTTAGCTTTTCTCGCCGATTTACCCTTCGATTCCGTTTTCTTCTTCTTGTTGCGAACTTTGGAAACATCTACTGAAGGACCCGACGAACTACCAGATTCTTCTTCACTGTCAGATGATGAACTCTCTAGCTGCACTCGCTTTGGCCGATTCTGAAAAACATATAAAACAAACTAGCATCAACTACAACATCACAGCAGGCCATGAACATCAAGTAGCCAAATTAATTTTAAAATCCAAAACTCAAATTCGTATCTTACTTGTTCGTTATTTCGACGATTTTGTGTCCTTTCCTGTAACAACTCCAATGCCCGATTTTTCCTGGCCGTATCATCTGGTTTCGAGGATGAGCGCTGCTTGACTCGGTCGTACATTGATAAACCTAGCGATCCCGAAGCCTCTTCTTCCATGAATAATCGTTTCAATTCTCGATCAAATGACTGGAAGACTAGTGTAATCATAATGTAATTTCCGTGGACAATCAGACTTAGCGGTCAGTCATTAACACATTCAAATACAGTCTAAAAAAATTGTGAATCTAAGGTTCCTTCCGATTTAAGCTTAGCGATTAACTGCTACTTACATGGAGTTCTACTTCCGACGATGATGTTTCTTCGCTTGAACTTGTACTTGACTCTCTTTTTCTCTTCCTCTTCTTCTTCGCCAATTCCTTCTTTCTCTGTTCCTTTTCTTTTTCCTTTTGCTTATGCTTTTCTTGCTCTTGCTACAACCAATACATTAAGTTTGAAAATGCTAATTTTATAATCCTTTATAAAAAAAAAACTTTATATAATTCGTCACAACGAAAAAATTTAAAGCTTTAGTGCAACTGGTGATAATACTTTAAGTTCTCTAATTGTCACTGCATGGGAAGTTTCAGAAGATTTACATATAAAAATTTCAATATTTTGAAAAAAGATTCCAAAAAAAAAACCCTTTTTTTTTGTACGATCTTTCTGCAACTGTTCCTTTTCTCTCTTTTCCCTTTGCTTAGCACTGGTGCAATCTTTCATCGGCTTATTCTTAATGCTTTTTTCCACCGGTCGTTGCGATTTCTTCTCCGAGGTAACCTCTCCTCTCTCGTGTTCCTTGTCCTTTTCTCTCTGGAACCATATGTTGACGTTGGATTTTTACTGCAGAATTTTTTCTAATGCAAAAGCAAAAACACTGGAAAAATCCAAAACCAATTCCCAAATACTAATATGTATAGAAGCCAGAAATGACAAACCAGTTCTTTTTTTCTTTCAGCTGCTTCTGGGCAGCGATTTTCAACTTCGTTTCTTGTGACTGGCCCTTTCCATCAGCATGTTTATCTTTCTCTCTCTCAGCTACACTTTGATCCGACTTTTCCGGCAACTATGAACACAATTTTTACTTAAACTAGGTGCTCTTACATCTTCTGTGGTAGCTTTTTTAATTAGTGTCGGTTTTAAATGATTATAAGGAAAGTTCCTAGAGTCAACATTATTTTGCTAAGTGATACTGCTAATGACACAAGCACAAAATCTATTTTCTCCTCTACTTCGTCACTGCGAATTACACCAATAGAATATGTAACTACACGTCAGCTATGGTTTTAAGAAGATACTAAGAAAAGTAAAATTCAAATTAAAAGTAAAGAATTTAAAGTGACCGAAATTTCAACAATATTAATACTAGTTAAACTGTTTTACCAAAAATTAAAAAAATACTTTTCTCTGTTCTTCTCTCTCAACTACATTTTCATCCGATTTTTTCGGCAACTATCAAAAGTAGAATTTTTACCTTCGAGTGTTTCTCTTTCGTGACCTCAGTTATTCCTTTTTTACTTTCGTCATTCGATTTATGGTGCGATGCTTCATCACTTTTCTCTTTCCTGATTTTTTTCAACTGCTTTTTAAAAACTTCTGATGAATCTTGCGCCTACAATAAACAAATACTGCAAACAAAATCTCGCTTCCACTCAAGGAAGATAAGGGTGCAGCGTGTGCAACGAAACCAATTTACAAATGGTACATCACATTAACTTTTGTTAATGAAATGTTAGTATGTTCCAATCGAGATGAAACAAAGATTTTAGCACAGTACTGCCGACATTCCAATCATTTATCAAAGAAATAAAATTCATTAATAGCATGTAACTAGTAATCTCGCAATAAATCATACCTGTTGACGAAATAATTCACTCAGTGAAGGTTGTTTGTTCGTAGAATCCTTAGATCCTTTTTTCTCAGGAAGATGCGACTTCGAATTGATTTTCATATGCTCTTTATCTCTCACCTGCACCTCGAATTGAAAACAAAATTAAAGCAAATCACTACTTGTATCTAACAAACTGTTTACAGATTTTCGACATGAAACCCGAATCTTGCTTCGAATAGTTAATAATAAACCTTATCACTTCCTTGAGTTCGCGACCGCACTTTATCCATTTCTAACGTAGTATTACCAAGAAGTGAACTAGACGTTGGCGGTTTTGTTGTGCTAGGTGCGGAAGAAACTGAGGTTTGTTTCGAACTAACAGCAGAATGTGATGCAGGAGGTGGAGGAGTAGACGGTTTTGTTGTAGTCCTCCAGGATGAAGATTGCGTACTGCTCTGGGGACCAGCGCTACGGACCAGTGGTTGAAGCGTAGACATGCATGATGATGCTGGATCAAATTGGGATGTGCTATTACATATCTGGAATGGAAAATAATTTTCTTCGGTCGATAGATTGTTAGTATTAAAATCCATTCATATGTCTCCCGAATGAGAATCGAAAATTGAGCATATTTACAGATTTATAAAAGTGATTTATAAAAGCGTGGAGTGAACTGAAATCCAGATAATTTCCAAAATGTAACTGGGCTTTGTAGTTTTGAATCAGAGAGATTTTGCTATGAAACCATTTTTTATTTTTATATTAGTAAACATAGATAAGCAACAGACCAGTGGAGGTGGCGGAGGCGGAGCTGAGATCAGAGAAGCACCAGCTGCAGCAGACTTGCATGTTGTCAACGACAGTGTCGGAGGTACCGGAGGTTGCGGAAGCGGTGGAGGTGGAATACTGAAATCTGGAGGATAAGCAATACGAGACGCAGCTGCCGACGGAGGTGTCTGATTACTGCCCTGTGTAATGCTCGGTGGCAGGAGAGGCTTCCTAAGTTGAGCGCCGGAAAACTGTGGTGATGGAAGATTGCAGGAAGTGGTGCACGTGGTATAGAAAATTGGCGTATAGGGACTCGAACTAGTAGAAGTTACAGGAGCAGGTGGCATTGGGATGGAGAGCGAAAGTGGATTACGAATTAACTTCTGACTTTCTGCATCCTTTGAATCGAAAATTGATGTAGTACCACTACCACTACGTATTCTTGTGAAAGAATCCGTGAACGTGTTAGACGTGGAGTGAGAACAAGATGTTGCTGACTGCGAGGTAACTACCGTTGAACTAGACGATCCAGTTCGTGCTTTTAGTCGTTCCAGTTCTTCCTCGAATTTATAACTGCGTTGTGATGTTCCTTTGCGGTCATAATCCAAATGAGTATTCTGCTTTGTTTTCTAAAACATCAGAATTGTACAAAAAGGAAAGAAGTAAAAGAGATAACAAAAAATGAAGTTAGGTTTCAAAAAAAATGGAATTATTAGCTCCTAAAAATGTTCGATTGTTTTCGAACATTTTTAAAAATGTGTTGCATAAAAAAAAATCACAACTATCGCCGATCTGGAACGAAATCGAGCAACTGGATTTCAAAAAACATTTAAAGGAAATTGTCGTTTATGCCTAATTATGGTACGAAACTTCTATCAAAAAGTTGTTCAAACCCTAACTCTTCGATCCAGCAAATACTATTTTAAAATACATAAATTTAATGAAATCAACCTGAAACTTTTGTTCGATATTTTGAAACGTAGCTCCCAATGCATCCAGCCGCTCGCGATATGCACTCGAGTTGTTGGCAGGCGAAGTATCTCCAAAAATATCTATGGTAGTTGTTATAAGCGAAGGTTGCGTAGTTGAGGGGTCAGGAGAAAGCATCGCTTCACTATTGCTTGATTCCGATCTTGATACCGATGAATGTGTTCGTCCACTGGACACTTTCTGTGGAGGTGAGTTTTCCGTAGCGTTCCATTTCAAATGACATCCTGTAGAGCATTTAATAAATTTAATATTAAAAATTTAATATTTAAATAAATTTAATACAAAAACATGGATGCCTACAGATCAGGAATATTGGACTCCTCTCACTATCGCTATAATAAGCTTCATTTCTCTTATTATTATACGAATCCACATATTAAATACATCTAAAAGAACTTCAAATCACGACTATGGCAAACTATTTGCCAATATAAGCCAATCGGTTCTTTGAATGACCTGACTCTGACTCAGTTTATGCATCACTACTAAGCATAATCTGTTCAACATCCAAATTTCAAAAAAAAAAAAAAAAAAAACACTCACAATGTTTGACTTTATTTTAGAGAAATAAAAATGTAAAATCAATGTGCACGACTGACCAGGAAGACCGGAACTTGAAGCGGGTAAAGAATTCCTTGGACATTTTGAATCTTGCCTCTGTTGCTGCGGGGAACGAAATGGATCCGGTATGCTATTCCGACGTGAGCTTGGCGCAGAATGATGTTCATGCACAAATTTTGGTAATGGTAATGAGGTGGAAGCTTGCGACGAATACTTCCGATGACGCGGATCTTTACCTCGATTAGCACTTCCATCCAACGGAATCGCGCAGTGATTTTTAATCGGATCATTTCCTAGAATTAAAAGAAATCTCCAAACTCAAATACCAAATGCTTCTAAAAATATTCTACTTTAAACTTATTTTTTAATTTATATTACCTGCAGCGCAATTCGTTTCAATCCCTTATCGAAAAAAAGGATAATTATAAATCGAAGAATAAGACATAACCATACTTATTTTTTCAATTCTAATTCTACATTTTCTCTTTTGAACTCTCTAGAAGCAGTACATGTTAAGATGAAAGTTAGCACAAACCCCATGGCCATTTGGTGCGTTTATTCAAAGAAGTAGACGGTCTACTGGAATGATGTCTGCTACTGTCGCAGATATCGTCAATAGATCGCTGGATTGAACAAGTCGACGAATGACTCTGATGACTACCACTCATTATAGCCAATGGTGCACTGGTTGTCGTTGATGTAGATGCTTTGGAATGATGCTGTAGTACGTTTACTAGAGTGTTAGCAATTTCTTCAATTCGATTTGACTGGAATTAATATTTCATATCATACTGATTTCAGTACTTTGAAATACTGAAAATTCAAGTTTAATGTTGGAACAGGCATCACATCAAATATGGAAAGATTAAGAGAAATAATTTCCTAGAACATCTTTCCAAAGCTCGTTTCCCTCATATTTATGCTTCAAATGACCTACTAATCAACATGACGCTTTGGCAACTTGAATTTCAGCAGTATGCAAATCCATACCGTTATCGTATTTATTTCGTTTGCAGTAAAATTCACTTCTGTTCCAGAGTTATAAAGCCCACTATCATGTGATTCTTTGTTTTCTAATCGCTTCGCATCACTGAAAGTTCAGATAGGCTCTAAATATTAAAAATAAGGAAAATCATTTAACTAGTAGTAAATAACAACAGCCCTACAATACTAGAATACGTAATTACTTTTCGCGAATATTATCCAATTTGAATTCAAATTCAGTACAACCTGTTATATAACTTGCTTCCGTCTCTGCCCATAAAAATAATAAGTAGTGGGAAGGTCCTGTATGTCTATTAAAACATAACTGATGACCGTGAGAGCTACACTGTGCATGGTCTACTCTTTCGATCTAGCAAAGAATTTTCTTGAAAGACGGGAACACACGAAAAACATAAAGCAAAAATATTCTTCATTCTCATTTATATCACTGCACTGAGAGAGCAGGTAGTCTCAATGATCTAATAGAATGACTTACGGCTGCTGCTGTTCCGTTTTCTTGCTTCGCTGTTCTGCAGTCGATTTTCCGTTTCCTTCATGAGACAGTTCACTATCAACTGACAAACTTGATGATGGCGTAAACTGCTGGCGCTTAAAATCGATGCACCTTACATCTGGTTCATTTGTAGTTGCTTCTATTGGTTTGTGATATTCTTGTTGTTTCTTATCGTTTGATGTTGTTATAATAGGATTCAGAATTTGTGCCGATGGCATGGGAGGTGGAGCAGCTGCACTAAGCTTGCTCTTGAGCTGCTACGCTTTGTAACTGTCTGCAGCGTGTTTCCGATGGTACTGTTAGATTGTTCAAAATTCCGATCAGACTTGTTGGAAGGAGAACTGTGTTGTCGTGAACTGGAAGGATATACTGGGGTCTAAAATATTATAATCGATGATAAATAAATTCGAGATTTCATAAATTCATTGTGACAAATGGTATATGAAACCAGTATCATTCCTCTCCTCTCTCACACGAAATATCCCTCCGCTGTTCTCAATCACATTATATGTATTCCAGCATTTGTACTGAAGTTTAATTATGTTTCACCTTATCTCTGTGCAAACGTTGGATGTTACTCTTCGAGTGGCCCGTACGTTTCCTATCTGGCGTACTGGAACTACTTACATCAGAATCACTGGACGTTGAAGAGGTTGATGATGACGAAGGCGATATATCATTTCGCCTAGTCCTTTCACGCCGTCGTCGAGATCTGTAGCAAGAGAATCAATAATTGCTGGAAAATCGTTTGGCATCTTATTTATCAACAATTTGTGCTAACAAAATCAAAAAAAAGACACACGACCTATTATACGACGAATATCGCAAAGAACGAGATGTTCTACAGCCATCTCGTTCATCACTTCTTCGTCTCCGCGACAGCATATTCGAGCTCGACCTCCGACACTCAACCCTTAAAAAAAAAATTACTGAACAGATACGATAACAACCGGAAAGTTGCACTACAAGTGGAGAGAATTGAGGATGAAGTTAATTTGAAGTATGCCATAAATCTGATAAGCACATCCTGTCTTGGAAAAATTTCGAGTATTCCCAAGAATGACGAAAATCAAGAATAGCAGACAGCAGGAAATCAAAGAAAAAGCCACCGTTTCCTACTGACACCGAGAATTTATCAAAAGTGAAGGAATATATAACTTAGTCTTAACAATCACGTTAATCTTTAGATGTACCCAATAGTTCAATAATGTTAGAAAGAGTAATAAATCAAAACAGTTCATCAAACCTAGATGATGTGTCATGAAGATGACTTGGTGGATCAGGCGGAGGTGCAAGTAACGATGAAGTAGATGTAGATGCGACCACTGAACCACCACTAGAACAAGCTGTTGCGTTGTTACCAGCGTATGAACTTGGTCCAGTACTATTCACAGCTATAAAATTTGCATTTTTCAATATTTTACAAAAGTTTTGTTAGTTGAACTTTTTTAGTAAAAACTAAGCATCTCAAAAAAAACCTACCAGCATTTCCAGATTCACCACGGAATTTGCGGTCAACAAAATAATCATGTAGTTTTTCTGAACAGTAATCCACTGGTACGTGAACATCCTTTTTTTCGTCCGCATTCCAAAAAGCTCTGAAATAAATCCTATGTCTTACAAAACCCAGTTTTATGTAATATATTTACATGTATATGTATAAAAAAAAAAAAAAAGCGCCTAAATATGCCTAATCCCACACAGTGTGATGTTTCAGTTATCTAGCATTCTGCTTTATCCATTTAATATTAAATTAGCTCAATAATAAAGAAAACCAAAGATCTCCACAAAAAATACATACACTTGCTTTGTTTTAATCATTGAAAATGCTCTCTGGGCACTGTCATTGTTGCTGAACAAAAGAAGGGCTTCCCGATGACGCGGATCATATATAACTTCATTAAACGTATCTGTGAACGATACTCGAATTTTCTCACGCAAATAATCTGCTGAACAACTAGACGGCAACTCGCCAATCCAAATCTTATTACTAACGATTGTACGCCCCCAATTCATCTGATGAAAAAAGCAATTGTAAATCTTCATATCTATCAAGTATTATTCCTAGCAATTTTCCATCGCAGTTTCTACAATTATTCCTTTTCTTCTTTAGTATGATTTATCAATCGATGCATCTATTGATTAAATAAAGCTAAATGCAGAACCCATCTAATCGAGTTACTGAAAGCCGATCTATTCGAATTACTTGTTAAATACCAAAATATTATTGCAACCAAGCATTCGATATAGAGTTTGGAGGATCAAGCAATAACATCCGGATAAAAGGATGCTAATGTTGCAATTATGTGCATTAACTCATCTAGAGCAGTAGAATTTAATTTTAAGCATAGAAAACAGTGGTAACTACCTTTAATTTGCTTTTGGCACTTGATGAATGTGCCGTTTGAACATGAGCATTAATTGCACAGACAACTGAATGTATATCAGCAAATTGAATAAAAGCAAACGGTGATGGACTTTCCCAGTTCTTAACCTCTAAATTCAAATTTATCAGTTCATCGTTTCTGTCAATAAGCTACTAAGAAGATAAAGACATAGATATTCAATAACGTATTTTGCTACACATCACATTAGAAGTAGAAAAATAGATGGACTAGCATCTACATCAAGTAGGAGAGGGAAACTTTACAGCTCATTGTTCTGCAAGTTACTTGTGTTATCGCATTTTACAGACCAAAGCAATAAAGAGATTTCCATTAAAGAAGGTTAAACACAGCTATCATGTCATACTAGAAATATGCAAAAATAACCTGTTTCTAGGATATGCCCAAAACAACTAAAACGAGAACGAAGAGAATCATCAGTTGTCCGTCTTTCTAAACCGCCCACATATAAAGTTCGAGAAGCTCGGTTAGCGAGCGCATCGACTACGGAAGAACCCGATGTTGAAGCAGCATCTTGAGATGACAAGCATTCCTGTAACCATGTGCAAGCCTGAATTTTTCGAATTAAAGAGACTAACAACGGTGATAAATGCTCAACTCTTCTAAGTTTTTGAAACTTCCTGAAAAAAAGTTTCTGCCATGTTGAGAATTGCAATTCGTATTTGACAAACACGAAAATCTTTACATCGCCAAAAACCTTCGACACTAGAAAGTTTAGGCAGTTATATACTGCAGTAGAAACCGTTGCGATAAGTGAGATCACTTGTTTTAATCAGAATTCTATTAACCTGTCCATTTGTTGTCAGATAAGTGCTGTAAGCTTCTGTGACAGCAGTATGACTTGCAAATCTGATTTTCAACCGCAATCCAAACAAGTGATGAACATCTTTGAGTTTGTCAGCATCCAGTAGTCTGAAAGTTCATGGAATTTGGAACATTTAGTAATACTGACAAACAAACTTCAATCAGAAATATCTACATACGAAATTCGCTGCATATAAGAACACATGAAAATGCAAAGTAATAATACACTTAATCACAACAAAATTTCTGGATTATATTTCATATCTTTTTTTTCTTCTTAATTTTGGATTTAACACTCAAAACCAATCCAAACCCCATTCCATTAATACAAATAATACTTGATACAGCTGACTTTTTTTTAATCTGGTCTCATTTCTATCCTACTATTATAGGATACTTTAATTCCGAAAAGTTAAGTAAAAATGTCAGGTTCCCTAACAATCACATATAAAGTTCTAAAAACATACCTCTGGAAAATGACGAGTGCTCGACGTTGTTCTACAAAATTTGGACCAGACTCCGTCTCAAACATGATATGAACAACTTTGCCAAATTTTTTAAAAAAATTTGTCAAGCCATCTCTCAGAAAGCCTTCTGTACGCGAAGATGGCAAATTGGACACATAAATACCTTAAAACATTATGTATATTTGAATTATTCTAAATAGAAATAGAAGATAAGCTGAACGGTTTGATAAGCCGTGCAACGAAAAATAATACAACAAACCTTGAAAGCCCTGTGAGGTACTTGATAGGCTGTCATGGTTACCACATGAAGCAGACAATTCGTTACATGCATTTGTATCGTTGCGTCGCGAACCTGATGCACCTGGCTTGATAATTGTTGACTGCACAGTATGAGTGTTGGATGCATAATGATGGTGTCCAGATGATCCACTAAAGAGCAGAAAATGGAATGGATTGGAACAGAACGAAAACTATTCAAGTTAGTCAATCTCTTCATAAAGATATCCGGAAGAAAAAAACACTCCTACTTCCCATCATTTCACATCAGTGCATAATACCATCATCTATTGTGACAACACAGCGTGTGCTGAACAATTCTTGACTACTGATTATCCTTCTATTCCTTTTGCACGTTTTTCACCACCTTACTGTGTAATGATTACTAATAGCGCTGACAATGAAATTTGTTTCCCCTATATTTGAAGGAAAAAAGACAAAACTACTACACTGTAATGAATGTGAATGTGTGAACAAGCATAAAGATTGCATACGAACCAAGTTCATAAGAAAGTCCCTTACTGATGAAAAAATAAAAGCGCAAAGAGTCCTCAGTAATAATTTATACTTTCACCTACTCCAAATACTAAGAGAAATTACATCATGCATATATTCAACAGAGAACATTAAAAAAAGAAGTTTAACAGAGTAGTGCCGATAAAGAAGTATCAAGTAGAAGTTGAGAAAAAGAAGTTCCCAAGAGCCATTCCGTTTAGATTTGAATAAAATTCTGCACATAACATCAAGCCCATTCCAAAAATATATAATCGCTGCTTCAATCATCACCCAGATGAATGCACCATTTGATAAATAATTTCGATGTAAAACTTCAAATTCTCAAAAATCTCTTTTCTAAGTTGAGCATTTCAAACTTATATTTGACTAAGCATACATATGTCCTTTCGTAATTCCCTTGCTGACATTGTTATTCTCAAAAACCGACAAACCTTGGGCTTCCTGAATCACGACTCGAATCGGATGATGCAGATGCGCGCGGAGAATGACGTGACCGCCGTGAAGTTCGTGAATCGCCACCACCAGCACCAGTCCGTCTAAAATCAGATCAGCAAGTAAGAACACCTACAATTCACCGAACGCTGTATTTTAGTGAACAGAAAATTCACAAGTCCAATAAATAACACACATTTCGCTTTCTGGAAGATATCATGTTCCTTGTCGGTGTACTACACAAACTAATCACAACTTACCGATCGTTACTGCCTGAGATCCTGCTTCGCTGAGATCGTTCATCAGTCCTGCTTGAAT